TACTACTACTACTACTACTACTACTACTACTACTACTACTACTATTATTATTATTACTATTATTATTATTATTATTATTGTCATCATTGTCACATTAATATACCTATATATATTTCTGTATATTTATATTATTGTCACTGGGCAGGTGGGTCGAGCGGCCAACGATATTGCATCTGTTCTGATTCCTTCAACGCCGGACAGCCACACTTTGATTTTGGACACATCACGACTCTTTGGACGTGAAATGCCTCTTCTTGAAACTAGAGTACTCGGTATCAGAAGCACGATTACGCTAGATTTATATTTTTATTATCGCGGTATATATACATATATACACATATGCCTGCTTTTCAATTACGATAGAGAAATACGTGTTTTATACATATATATATTTTTATATAATATATATATATTCATAGATATATTTTTCGCAATTGATAAAAGCTCTTATTATGAAATTGATTCGATTTTCGGCCGCTCGGCTGGTTCATCGTACATACATTTTTTTTCTTTTTCGTTCCATTAGCTTTTTTATTTTCTATCTTCTTCTTACGACTCACTTGCCATTACCTCGCCAACCGTGTTTCCATCCTACCTCTTCATATTTCTTATTATATAGCTTGAAATCCTGGTGTTGTGATATAGTAGTAAAGAAATTGCTTTTTGGGCACGGTACTGACAGTCGTTCGAAGTTGTCATTCTAAATAAAAAAATGAAAACAAAGGAAACAGAAAAAACTGATGTATAATTTAATAAATTTTCCCTTCTTTCTTAATATATATATATATATATATTTTCTAGGGATTCTTAATTTTGCTAGTTTCACGAAATATCAGAAATATTTCTGTATATATATTTTGGTAATTTTAAATTTATTTTTAAATATTTTTTTTAGAAAAATTACCAAAATACGAATTTGAATATTAAGAAAATATGTTTTCTTTTCAAAAGAAAAAGAGGGAAGGGATCATTTATTTTCGCCATTATTTTTGTTATTACTGTAAGTTCTATTATAACAAAATTTACAACGAGAACGAACGTAATGTATCTCCCTCACACCATAGCCTAGCTTTTGTGTTACACAAACAATTTTAAATATTTGAAATCAATTCACAGTAAGTAACTAATTTCATGTTACTTATATATAGTTATATATATATATAACTAGTATAACACATATGCTACATATATACATCTATAATAGCAAATAATACATATTATATATTTAATTTAACATTGACGAATAAGGGGGGATTATTATTGATTAAAATTCGTTCAGAATTATACTCATTAACAATAATTATTAATCAGTGCCATATTAAAAAAAAAATGAGTAATATTTCTTAAAAAAAGATTTGAATTTAAATAAATATTTAATACATTTAAAATATTTAAATAATATGAAAATAATTTTACAAAAAAAACAAATAAAGTTTTTTAAATTATTAAAATCCTTTGAATTTAGCAAATAATTTAGAAAGATCATATATAAGCTTAGAATAAAAATTAAGCTTTATTTTTATATTTATAAAAGCTCTTTTGGAGCAGTGTTTTGGAAGATCGGTTGGCAGCCGAGCGATTCGCTCAAATAATAAAAACTATAATCCTTAAATAGATTTCTTATGTATGGTGTGAGATTTTGCGTGGTATCACTTTTGCGAGTTTGTTGTGAGTTGCATTGTATATGCGGCACATTGCATGCTGAACTCAATTCCTCATATAGTTTGATCATAGATAAACGTAGGTGGATTGCCAATAATAAATCCGTATAGGTATAATGTAGTTCTAGGAAGTCGAAACTGTTTCATTTCATCATATCGATACAGAACGCATTATTAAAGTAAATAGATGATTTAAGATCAATGCTATTAATATTAATATAATATAAATATAAAGTCATTCCTATTAATATTTCGTTTTAGAAGTCTAATTTTAATGTAAAAATAATAATAATAACAATAATAATATAAATTTATAATCATAAATAGTCGGATAATATATTAATCTTTATCGGTTTATTAATGTCGTAGATTGGAATATTATTTAATCTATAAGATATTTTATGTCACATCAGAAATAATATAATATATTCGTTAAGGATTAAACTTTTGGAAAGACTTTTTCAAGAAATTTTTTAAATCTATTTTTAAAAAATTTCCCCTTTTTCTTATTTATTAAAATATCATCTTAAACTATGTTCATAATTTCAATGTCGTATAATTACTAACAATTTCAAAAAAATTGAACATTCAAAATGTTTTTCGCAGCGAACGAAATAAGCGAATCGCATATAATGGGTTGGTTATATTATTATTGATTAATTTGTTCGTTATTTATTGGCGATAACTTTTATTATCGTTTATTAAATATATAAAAAAATAAGTATCGTTATCTTTAAATTAAAACTGGACTTCTTAAAACGATATTATTTATGAAATGACCTAAGAATCTGCTTTTAAAAAAATATTCTCTTTCTTTCTTTTTCATATGTTTTATTCCATTTTATTTTTTAAAAATTCGATTTGATTTCCAAAAATCGATTCGAAAAATCTATTATTTCAATATATTTAGATTAGATGAAGATTAATATAGATAAATAATATATAATTAGAGCGTTATATATTTAATAGCGTTATTTTTCGATTTAATTAAAGGAACGAAAAGAAATCATTCCTCTTAAATGTTATATGAGGAAATGCCATCGATCGGCTGTCAGACAACTTCCCGTTCAGAAGAACAAGTATTCTCTCTAGATTAATGCGGAATGCATTGGAAGAAATTATATATTTTCGTAATTAATATATCTTAAATGGGGGGAAAAAAATCGCAAGTAATGATCAATGGTTAAAAAAATTTCTTTCAAAATTCCACAATTATTTTTTGAGATATACTTTTCTATCGAACGATGCGCAATCTCCAAAAAAAAAAAAAAAGAAAAGTATGAAATATGATGCGAGTCGAATGTGAGCACGAAGACAAATGAGGGAGGAGGGGATGGGAGAGGAAGGGAAGGGAGAGAGGAGAAAAGATGAAAGGGTGGGGGAAGCAACGCGTGCATTCGAGACGTACACGTAATTTGATATTTTACATTTGATGAGTACTCTGGCGACGTAAGTACATAAGATTATTTACAGACCGTTGACAAAACATACAAATGTTATTATTATAAAAAAGTTTTAAGAAAGATGGGAAAGAAAGATCGCACATTTATCGATATATTCGGAATTCAGAGTACCGTACGTCTTTTACAGGTATGATAGGAGCTTTGCCACCGGGAGCAATGCATCCGGCATTCGCAGCTCCAATGGGTTTCCCCGGTGCACCAATGTTGGCTCCGATGATGCATCCACGCTTCAGATGATCACCTCCTATGGACGGGCCCCCCCCGCCACTGCACTTCGTGCTCTGGGCCCGCCCCTAAATTTGATTAGGGTCCGGACCTGATTGACAAGAAGAGGAGAGAAAAAGCACGCGTAAAACATGTTAGCTCGCGTGGACACGCATTGTTGATCGGCCGCGGCTGCACTTGACGCATCCTCTCCTACGAAGTTTACACGAAGTTAGCAAAAATCTTTGTTTTTTTTTTATAATATCATTGCAAAACACACATCAC